CCAAAGAAGCTGTTCATTTTTCGAAATTGCCAAAATCGGACCAACACAGCATATAGCGGCCGTACAAAGTGAACGATTAAGATCAGACCTTGTATTATTTGACAAGATATCTTCACGAAATTTGTCATAAATCATTGTCCGAGGAAACGGTATATTTTTCAAACAATTTCTTTCATATCGGACTACTATACATATGTATATGAATTCTTAAACTACCGCCAGACTTATAAATGTTCCCTAATTTTTTCAGACATTCCTTCCGAACCTCAAAATCTTAAAGGCCGCCTACAATAACATCACCAGATTGGAGAAGGATTTCCATGGCCTACCCGTACTGTGTCAAGCCAACCTAACCAGCAATCAAATATCGTCCATATCCTCGGAGTTAGTTTCGCAAACGAGATGCATGACCCACAACGTACCCGGCAAATTGGAGTTATATTTAGATGGTAAGTCACGCTAGAATATCACAGAACTTCCAAAATTTTACTAACCTCTTTCTAAACACCAACAGACAATCCAATACTTTGTGACAGTCGTCTCAACGAACTCTGTCCCATCATGCTGAAGCAAGAGACACGTATTCGTGGCAAATCACAATGCTTCGAAATTGACCAAGAAATCTGCACCGTGTTGCCGATGTTGTTCGTCAATAAATATCCACTGATTATACCAACGCAATTGAGTCAACAAGTGCTGGCCAATGCCAAGCCGGTCGTTATAGTACCACTACTCAATCCAACATTGAGTAATGGTGATGAAGTGTTGCCACCATTAATTGCACCGATTATAAAACCGCTACTAATCGCACCATTGCCACCACTGGCGACGACTACACCTTCAACAACAACAACTACCACTTCTACCACCACCCTCACAACCACAGCTGAAACTCACACTAGCGAGCAAGTAGCTACATTGGAAGCGCCCACATCCACTATGGAAACAAATGAAACTGGCGGCATCGAAGATSTAACTGCTAGSGWGGGCAATATCAATCCRGGTGAAGGCATTAATGTCAACGCCAACAGCACAATAACGGCAGCACCRAACACAACCAAAGACAAGCCGAACGCAGTTGATTTCAACAACAACACCATGGAGACACACGCTGCTGAAGGAGATGTCGCAATTGATGAGAAAGCACCCGTCRCAGCAGGTGATAGCGTAAGTGGAATACAAGCACATGAGGGMACACTACAGACGGCACATGCTATTTCGGAATTGACCAAAATCGTTGGAGCACCAGCAGTTGTGGCACCGCCGCCACCAACTGTGCTCGAAGAAGTGTTGGTCGGCAAGCCATTGCCGCCAGAGACGGCATCGTTGACGCCACCAACTGAGTACGCAACTGTTGAATATATACCGAATTTGGATGAATTCCTACCGGGAAATCGTCCGCCACCGAATGTACTCGAAGAGGATTCGAATTCGAATTCGGTGCATGAAGAATTCCCGTCGGTCGTGTTGGCCGATCTCGATAATGCACCGCAAAGTCTACTAACACCGGATGAACCACCCGAAAATCCTTAAATTTTAGTCACACACACACACACACACACAACATATTATATTACATCTACATTATTAAAATTTAAGTTTTCAATTCCCCTCTTTTCCACTCTCTGTCTCTCTCTGTCTATCCATCTAACTATCTCTCCTACTATTGTGCTGTCTACTATGTCCCACTTCAGGTTAATTATAAAGTAATTTAATTTTGATTACCGCATTTAGTTTTAGTAGTTGTTAGTTGCAATTAATATTATTATAACGGTTTGTTTCAATACGCATATAAATACCCACACATGCACATCCGAAATCCATATCAYGCACGCACACACTTAAACAAACACACAAACGCACGCACTCATATACAATTTAAATAAGCTCAATTTGCACTTACACACTCACAGCCACATACACACGCACACACATACGCAGAGCAAACACGACCATTTTCTATTTTTATTTTAATGTTAAAAATATTACAAGATTTAAGTTATTATTTTTTTAATTTTAAGTTACTGTTTCACTTGACGTAGCGATTAAATGTGAAGTAATAAATGTAAAAGAAGAAAGAAAAAACAAAAAACAAAAACAAAACGAAACAAAATATGCAAATAGGTAGTTCCAAAAGTGTAATAGTGAATTAACACGAAATATGTATACTATGTAAATGTTGATTTATTGTGACTAAAAATTACATAAGTTTAAATTTGTGATTATGCCAAAATTTATTCACTTCTATATATACATACATATATGCACAATATATATACTCATGTGTTTGTATGTATGTATTTGGTGATGTTTTACGTATACCTACATATGTATGTTTATGAAATCTACTTTTGGTAAATATAAACGATTAGAAATTCATTATTTTATTGAGCAGAAATAAAACTTATAAGTCAAACATTAATTCATGCTTCTTCTTATTTTGAAGAGAATTTGGTGAGTGTTTGACCGGTGGCAGCAGAAAGTATGAATTGAGTAAGACTTTAGCTATGCCATCTCCTCAAATATTACTCGGACTGGACCACTGGATTACTCGGAGTGGTACAACATTTTTTCTCGTTTATGCGAAGTTTGATCTCCATATGTTAATTATTATATATTTGGCAACTGTTTGTTTTCGTTGCGAAGAGATTGTTTGCCAATTTTTGGAATGAAATTGGGTGTTGCCAATGAAATCACGGCTTTGGAATCATTGAAAATGTAGTGGAAATTTTTGAGGAGTCTACTTTATCACGAGCACAAGTATTTGAGTGGCAAAAAACACGACCCTCGCTGCGTGAATTCAACGAAAACTTGTCTGGCGCAAATCATCGCTCCACCTCTGTTAATGGCGTTAACATTGAAAAGTCGAAGTGTTGACAACAGAGAGATCACAAAGGAGCTCAACATCTGTCATAGATCGACTTACATACTTTAGTTAATGTTTTGAGTATGAAGAGTAACACCTGTCTCTTATACACATCTAGATGTGTATAAGAGACAGCTGTTAATGGCGTTAACATTGAAAAGTCGAAGTGTTGACAACAGAGAGATCACAAAGGAGCTCAACATCTGTCATAGATCGACTTACATACTTTAGTTAATGTTTTGAGTATGAAGAGTAACACTTCATTCCAGGTCCAATTTAATGGTATGAACTTGAAGTTGTTATACACAGTTAATGGCATTTCCATGAATTATTTATTTATATAAGGCTTAAGTCATTTAAAACCTTTACAATGATATTCTAAGAGCGCAATAGGGAAATAGTTTTCTAAAAAAAACATTAGCAAATATGATTTTGTTATTATTTACATAGATATGCGTTAGAAATAGGATAACCTGTTCAGAAGCGCAGATTTATAATTGAGGTATTTCTATATGAGCTGTTTATTGACTGATTTAAATCACGTTTGCTATTTCCTTTTACTTTTTTTTAGAATATTTACGTTAATTTTTTATTCTTTTTGTTAATGTTGCYTTGATAAATGAAACCCTTCTAATTATAGTGTCACAAAGCGCGTGCGCGCTATAAATTGACTCTCAAGTAAACACATTGCTTTGCAAGCGAATAGTTTAAAGTAAAAATGCACAAGTACGTAAATAAATATTTGAAACATAAATAAACAGTAAACAAAGCTTAAAWTTCAATACAAATAAAGTTGTATATTTTTATAATAAGAGAAAATAATTCGTTTTATTTACATAATTTAATTAACTAAAAGTTCCCAAAATCAGAATTAAAAGTTCATAAAATATAAATTGTTGGAATATGTAAGTTTACCGACCAMTGTTCTAGACCATTGAAATTGATGGCCCTAAGAGCTCTGGTTTAAAATAGTATAACACGAATTTTGCAATGTAAATTCAAAAACAATATTTTTTTTWTATTTTAATAAGATTAACATATTTTTGTATATATTTTATGTTTAGCACTTTAGGCGGGTTAAGGCTTACCTTACTATCAAACCACAGATGACGCTGTTAAATGAAATCATAATTACGCTGCCAGTATATACACAATTTATTGTTATATACCAAAACTCCAATAAACTGAAAAAATTAAACTAGCATATACACACCATGCAACTTATAATCTACAAATAAAAAAATTGGATTAAATTTGTCATTTCCAACTTAAGAAACTCAAAGAATCATTAAGAGAAATCGCTAATCGCGCTCTTGGTTAATGACTGGGTCAATCAATTGTCAGTTGGCTTGCCCAATTATTTATAATTTTTAACTTTAAAACCGCTAGACTAATTGTAAAAAGGAAGATGTGTGAGGAAAGATAAAATATAATTTATTACATTTTCTTAAAATAAATAATACCAATAATTCGATTAGAACAAAAGCATTCCTATATGGCATCACTTCTTATTTGTTATCATGCAACCCTTTTGTTATTGTGTAAATAAATCAAATATAACAAAATCTTAAATGTTGAATTAAAGCTATTTTTACTAGTTTATATAAAATATACCCGAATAAGCAATAATTAAAGTGTTAATGGTTAAACAAGTACATATAAGAATAAATGAAAAATTCAATACAAGCTTATAAATAGCACAGCAAAAATTGTTAAATCCAGGAACAAATTTGTTGAAAAGTAATCCTGCGGCAGAAAAAACCAATTTTGCCAACACTTATATTAACCCCAAATACGGGTCTGGTGACGATACGATATAATAACCACTTAAAGTTAGTAAAAGCCATAATATGTTTACATAGTGAAATTATAAAAAATATAAATATCAAAGCTTTATTAAGTTTATTTATTAAATTAATAATATTAATAAAGACTTTAGTGATAATATGAATGCAGTTATAGCGCTCTGCCACTTCTGCGAGGCACATGGCCCTAGTGCGATATTTTGTACACAAACATTGCGAGATACAAAACTTGAAGAGCTGCAGATAAATCAACAACATGTAGAAAATAAACTTTGTTCTGCATGCAATTCCGTAGGGCAAACCAATGGCATGTACAGCAAAGATAATGAAAGTGGCGCTACTTTTTTAAGCACACAGACAGCTGCATTGCCGGATGTTCAATTGCTGATTAAACAGGCAGCTGTGCGAAGCCTTAGCTGTGAAATTAATTCCAACAAAGACGGAGGTTTTGTATTCTTTGGTGACTCTTCAAGGGGACATGTATTAAGTCACACATTTCAAGTAAATGATTTACAGGTAAATAATTTATCGATTTCATATTAACATATATATTTTTTATATAAACTGCTTTTGTTATTCTAGGCACGCGGATTCTATCAACTCTTCTCGATAATTGTTCTTATGAAGGATAAGTACTTTCTCCTAAACACAAAACCCTTTCTAGCAGAGCACCTGCGCAAAATATCCGCCGACATACAAGCATCAGCTAAAAAAATTAATGATGAGACAAAGGAATTGCCGCGTCAACGGCGTCTATCTAGTGCCCAAGTTTTAGTACAGACTCCACGCTCTTTAGTAGAATTAACTGGCGAAGAGAATATTTTTGCATTTTTACATTCACATTTTTCGTGGATATTGTTGGCCGGCTCACGATTTCTTACGGAACATGTAACTTTCGGCAATTTGCCGTGGTTGCCACCACAAAGCAGTGACCGTCCACCGCAACAGCGTTTGACCTATAACATAACACTGCCAATGTTGCAAAAGTACGAGGAAACAATTAATGATCCGGAGCGTGAAGAGTTTTATTCACTACGACATGTGAAGGAAGTGGTGCGACGAGAATTCAACACAATCGTTTACTGTGCTTTAACTGGCATAAAAGTATGTAAAAAATAATAATATAAAATAAATTCTAATTTTTTTTTTTAATTTACAGATAATTATTCGCGGTAGCTCAGATCGCACGTTAAATTTCATGTTGTGTTTGAAAAAACTACTACCAGAACCAATGCATAATCTCATGCGTATTGATGCCCAACATCAACATTCTATTAGTTCTGATTATAAAATAATATCTGTGTCAAACGAAATAGCAGTGCCTATGGCATGTAGCTCTGTGTATCGTGTAGACTTTTTGGATGATTCTGCTGATGGTCAGAAAGTTTGTGTAAAATGGCCAGGGGAATTGCCGAGAAAATGTATTTTAAATCAAAATGTTTTATATGTTCACATTTATATTACGATAGCTCTTATTTTGCAGGGCCCGACTTGATGGTAAAATTAATGAAGGCAGTGGACGAGAAACGTTTTACACCACTGGTGTTAAATAAGCAAACAAGAGTTTTAATGGAAGAGTGGAAAAAGTTCGTATATTCGCATTGTTGCATTAACCAACAGTAACGTTGAATTATTTTTTGTTCCTTATGTCTTATAGTAAAGTCATATGCCTAAATCAGGCAAAATCGTCTAATGGTCAGGCGAAATTAAAAAAAGTTTTAGGCGTGCAACCTCAGGACCAGCCGCTAATAAATTACTGGAGTGGACATTTGCAATAAGACCGCATGTACATATACGTAGAAACTTGCGATAAATAAAAGTCGGTCTAATGCGCACACRACTATATCAAAGCAATAATAAGAATTAAAGCTAATATATATAACATTACACATTAAGTCAATTTGATATCTTATACAAAATTGCGAATATACTTTACAAGATAATAATGGTTGTAATTTCAATAATCTCCAATAATAAATTTGATACTTTTTAGCACAAAATGTTATAATTCGTTGTTTTGATATATTCTAATTTGTTGGTACAAAGGTGTCCCCAATTATTTAAATGTAACTGTCACTCGTCAAACCACGAACTAAACTCTTGTACACGTAATTAATTTTTTGAATTTACTTTTACGCGAACAATATTTTTAATTGGCTGGGCACTTTTTATGAAAAACACACATGTTTTACTTTGAAAAAACATTAAAGTAATTAATTTTTTATTTGTATTACTGATACAGCGCAGGATGTCATGCACTCTAAATGTATAACCATTCTCGCAAACAAGAATTGCGTGGTTGTACACAATCTAATAACTAACGTAGAAACGTGCAAAATCGATTGTTTACTTCTTGTAACCACAGCTGGAACGACGACCACGAGCACGCTCAAATTTGCGACCCTTTGATCGGACATATGGTCGGGTGTGAGAGTGTGGCACACCGGGAGCCTTGCCGAAGTGCTTGCAAGCTGTGCGTGCAGTACGTTTACCTTGCAACAGCAATGTTTTCTTTCCAGTTGGCGATTTAAGTGCCAATTGATCGAAAGTCAATACTTTACCACCAGCCTTAATGATACGCTCGCGAGCTGTTTGTGAGACATGTAAAGCACAAATCGTCATTTTTGGTACTTTCAATAGACGAATGTCATTGGTAATGCTACCAACAACAACAACGGTAGCCTCGGGTTGATCGGCTTTCTTGAAGAAGCGGCTGACACGCTGCAACGACATTGGTGGGCGGTTAATTCTGCTCATAAACAGACGCTTCAACACGATGCGATTGAACTTCTTATTGGTACGACGCTGCAGGAAGCGGTACAGCTATTGAGGAGAAATATGATTGTTACTGTAATATAATTACAACACCATAGATACTAAACAAGTTAATTAACGATACGTACAATACTTTATTTACATATTATAGKAGAATAATCGTACGTAAAGTTAATTATACAGTCAATTAATTGGTTCAATACTTACCTTAACAAGAAGGCGCAAGTAAACATCTTGAGATTTGGGCTCAGTTCTGCGAACTTTGCGATCGTATTTGTGGCTGATATCGATACCCTGAAATGGTGCACAGAAAATATTTTCATTACATTTTGCCTAGTTTTAAAATCCTTGAGTTTTCAATGCATCGTATAGTTCGAAAATAAGAATAAACTACGATGTTTGAAAATAGATAATTATTGGAAAATTTTGGTTTAGGTCTTACCATTGTGGTGACCGGAAAAAGAAAGAGACAGGCAGAAAAAGTAATGTAATTGGTAATACTGGCTTATTTTTGACAGTTGCGATTTTGACACTTCCTATGCTTTGTTTAATGAACACTAAAAAAATTAAATTCTGTTCTAATACAAATTTGCAACCCTACGAATAGAAATTCTTTCGCTTAATATTCAAAACTTTTTCAGGAAACACATTTATTGGATAGAATGTATTCAGTTTATTTCTTGAATTTGTTTAGTTATATGTTTTACTTAAATAAACGAGTAAAATTAAGATGTTTATGCTATCACTGGATATGTTCGGTCTAAACTTTCCTCTTTTTCATAATTTTCATGAATAATACCATACCTGAAATTAGAATAAATTTAAACTAATAAATACAGCAAATCTGGTGATTTAACATACCAATAAATACTGTAATAACGAAAGCGAACATCAGCCACATCCAACATTTCCATGCATTACGTGAATGTTCAGCTAATTTTTCCGTTTCTTTATTCAATGAATTAATGTTGCGATCAGCCATATTTGTAGATCTTGAAGCTACTTCAGTATCCTTCTTTATTATCCGATTTGCGGTCTCTGTCTGCTCTTTCAGATTTCGCGTTAGTGACAGCATATGCTCAGTGATTTTTTCTTGAGCTTCATTATAATATTTAACCGCTTCATTCATGTTATCAGCATTTGCTACATTATCATCTGGTTTTCGTCGGCGAAGTGAATCTTCTGTGGATATTATACACAAAAAAAAAACAATACTAAGATTGTTTACACCTTTTACAAACTTTGAACCTACCATTTAGTAACTCTTTTCGTATATCTGCATAATGTTTCGAACTTTGGAGTTGCTTCATTTCTTTTATTGCMTCCTCACCAGCTTCATATGCAGGACGTAGTTTAGATCGTAGGCTCTTTACAGGTGGTGGACTATCTATGTAATTCGTAAGAATCTTCAGAGCCTGTAGTCGTTTTGTATAATCTGCAATTTTCATATTACTACTTAAACTGAAAAGGTAATGCCATTATCATAATGCTCAAGCCAGTAAATATTGCACTAACTCGTCAAATTCCTTGAGTTCCTCTATCATTGTATCCAAAGATTTTATAAACTTTTTCAAACGCCAATAATTTGCTTCGTCCTTTGATAGCTCTTCGCAGTTGGACAGAAGTGTTCTAATATTTACATTTAGTTTAGTAGCCATAATATAAAATTTTTGCACATAAAAACACGTATAAACAATTAATAGAAAACTGAAACGTCATATAGGCAGTGCACTCTATTGACAGTTACTATCAACAGAGTTGTCCATTTCGTTTTAATATGTGGAAAAAGTGTAATATCATGCAAAAAATTATTAAATAATAATGTGCTTTCTATTACGTTAAAACAGTAAAAAAGCAAAATTTATTAACATTCTCTAATTCTAAATTTCATAGTTTGATAAATAGCATATTTTACTAGAAATAAATTATTCTCTCTATTTGTCACACTGAACATACAACACGTTAGATTGCATTGCTGAACGCGTATTCACTACATAAAAATCATAATTGAAGGAAAATTTGGGGAAAAGTGAACTAAACGCACAATCACACAACAAAGAAGAAAAATTATAAATTCCAATTAGTTTTTGATAAAAAACTATTACCAATCCGCACAGAAAAAAGCATTTAGTTAATTAATTGTTTCTTTTCGTCTCTTATATCGATATCGTGTGGGATAATCTCAGTTCCCCGCCAGTAGCAAAATGCAAGCAATTAAGTGCGTCGTGGTAGGCGATGGTGCGGTGGGTAAGACTTGCTTACTTATCAGCTACACAACAAATGCCTTTCCTGGTGAATATATCCCCACTGTGTTCGATAATTACTCGGCAAATGTAATGGTTGATGCCAAACCCATTAATCTTGGACTTTGGGATACTGCCGGACAGGAAGATTACGATCGGCTACGTCCATTATCCTATCCACAAACTGATGTTTTTCTTATCTGCTTTTCTTTGGTGAATCCAGCGTCATTTGAGAATGTGCGTGCTAAGTGGTATCCGGAAGTGCGTCATCATTGCCCTAACACGCCCATTATATTGGTGGGTACCAAATTGGACTTGCGCGACGATAAAAACACTATTGAGAAACTGCGTGACAAAAAACTTGCACCTATAACTTATCCTCAAGGATTATCTATGGCAAAAGAAATTGGTGCTGTTAAATATTTGGAATGTTCGGCACTCACGCAAAAGGGTTTAAAAACAGTATTTGATGAAGCCATACGCTCCGTCCTTTGTCCAGTGCTGCAGCCCAAATCGAAACGTAAATGTACGTTACTCTAATTTGCCGCTACTTCAAGCCGTGCGTCGCATAGTGGACGTCGGAAACCAAGCGACAGCCAAAATAATTGAAGTTTAAACGGGAAAACGCCCATCGCATGTAAACAATTTAATCGAAAACAAAGAGAAAAATCAAAATAACCAAAAATAAATTAATATAATACATTTGAAACATTTGGAGCGCTATTCTTGTTGTGATAAATGCGGAATGTAACATCATCTATAAAAAGCTATTGCTTCCAACAAAGTCCCACAGACAGCCGAGTTTTTGATGTTAAATGTTGTCAATATCGTCTATAAAATTTCTTTACTAATCTTAAATAGAAAAGCCATTGCTTGTGCTTGTACAAGTGACAGATCGAACAGACATTTGTTTCCGCATAATGCYATATATCTAACTTGGCGTCGATGCACAATCGGAGCGAATGACTAATTGCATTAATTTCATTATTTAGGCTATAATTTCGGGAGCTGAATAAATAATCGCGATAGAGATTTCTCYTAGAAATAGTCAAATAGCAGTTTCATATACTAAGGATGAAAAATTATATATATAGTTTATATTACCATTTTATCTTGAATATTTGTGAAAACTATCCCAACATTTTTCCTGTTTATTTAGTATTATGTGTAACTTTTGTTGCTTCATTGAAAATAATTTTATATTCTCTTTTCTTGCACATTGATTTAAAACTAAAAGTTTTGATGTCAGTTAAAAAATAAAAACGCAAAGGCTATAATCCTATTGCTCTGGAATACGTAGAATCGATAAYGGTTATAAACAATGAAAACGATTAATCTTTTATATTATAAAAGTGCTTTTTTAAATTAAAATTATATAAAATAAAATGTGTAAATCAAAAATTAATGGATTGAACAGTGTTAGAAAGGAAATTAAACCAAAACAGAAAATGATTCATGAATAACTAAAAACATATGTATGTAATGGAACTCAAAATGGAAATGTGTTAGTACAGTTCATATAGAATAATAGGCATTCATGTTTATCTACTAATAGTTGCCGTAAACCAAATGTTAGCCAACTAACCAAAAATTAACCACGATTGAAAAACGATGAAAGTTTATAAACTCACATGCGGATATACAAAACTAAAAAAATGTTTGCAAATTGTATGTATAATCTATTGTAGTTGTATTTAATACCAAAATATATATGCAGATGCTCATATGGAATCGGAAAATCACAAGTGGTTGAATTTCCATGCTTGTGTACAATTTGTAATGCGTTTAAATAATTATGAATTTCTATGCGTAAGTTTAGGTACGAATCATCGATACATATTYAGACAACTAACTATATACATGCAGATGAGTAAATCTTATGATTACTACAACAGAAAAATTAATTGAAGTTAGTTTCATTACATATTGATGGAATTAATAATACTAATTGAATGTGTGTCTCTGATAAAAAATAAATTAATTGAAAATTCGTAAAATAACTTTAATAGTTTTATTTAACAATGAAAATGATTATATTGAGGAAAACGTTATACTTGAGTTACAAACTACAGTCGCTCGAAGTTTTATGTTCCCTGATAACGCTTCAATACTCAACAACGGTCATCCTGGGTGCACGCTGGC